ACTCATATCTAGCAAAAGAGAATGGAGGAAATCAAAGGCTCAAAGAAGAAACTAGTCCACGGGGCTAATAGCCCAGATGAACTACAACCTCTTCTAACCTGAGACCAGAAGAACTAGATGGCGCCCGGATACCACTACCGACTGTTGTGACCAGGGACACAATAGAAGGTCCTGGATAGAATGGGAGAAGAAAGTAGAACAAAACTCAAATTCATAAAAAAAAGGCTAGACCTACTGGACTGGTAGAGACTAGAGGAATCCCCGAGACTATCGCATTAAGATACCCTTTGATCTTGAAATTAAAGCTATTTCTGCAGGTCCACTTTCAGCCAAATAATAGATTGGTTTATAAAACAAACAATATCACCCATGAGTAATGTGCTCTCTTAAACAATTAACTATGTGAGAGAAGCAGTCAACAATTACCCAAAAGCAAAGATGAGACTGCAAGGAGGGAAGTGAAGCTAGATCAGTGGAAACAGAACAAATAGAATGGAAGTAATGAGAATGCCAACACATGATAAAAATGGTAACCAATGGCATGGAACAATTTGTATAAAAATTGTTAAAGGGGAACCTAATTTGCTGTGTAAAATTTCACCTAAAACACAATAAAATATTATATTAAAAAAAAAAGAGAACCAATAAATGTTTGTTAATTGGATGACTAAATGGACCTCCTCAGTGAAGCCGTTCTCAATACCCTCATCAGTTTCTTCCTTCTCTGGGGTAACTACAGCATTTGGTCCACACCTGTCCCAGCATTTGGTCTTCCACATCTGTATTCTGTAGCCTTTATAATAGTGCACTGTTGCCCTGTCCTCATTCCACAAATGAAAGACTGGGGGCTTACAGTACTTAAAGAACTTCCCAAGGTCACACAATCAGTGCATGTCAGAGCCTGGCAAGAGGCCCTTCGTAGCCACTATGTTAAACTGCCCCACTGAATAAAGGAATACACATGAATGCATAAAGTCCACCTCACCCATTTTACAGCTAGGGACACTGAGGGGGGAGTGGCTGCCAGCCTTCTGCCCCCTTCTCTAAGTGACGCTGGCACTGCTTCTGACAGAGCAGTATTTACAAGAGGAGGCCAGCCTCATGCCTTCTCCCGATGGCAGCTCTCTCTCTCTTTCTCTTTCATGCCCCTGTTGTCAGCGGGCACCTGCTCTGCTGTGAGCTGTTTGGGGACGTTTTCTCTGCTATGTTTGCATCTGCTATCACCTCCCCTCCCGGACCAGCTTTCTCCTGCTGGGTTTCTGGGAGTTGCTGAACAGAGGTGCTGGAGCCAGAATCAGTCCTCTGACAAGGATGACTGGATGTAGGCAATACAGATTTTTATCGTGTCTGGTGGGTTCTGATGTTTTCTATTCTATACTATTTCATTAAAAATTGCTGATTAATTCTCAATAAACTGATTTCACAACCAGCTATTGAAAGGTGACCTGGAGTCTGAAAAACTGACTTGTAGTCCAGACTCCTCATGGGCCCTACCGTGCTTTTTGTGGCCTGTTTCCAGCTTAACCCAGCAGTCTCATGTCTTGCCAACTTCACCTCCAAACCATGTGCCCCTTCCTCTACAGTGGCTGTCCTCTCCCCATGTAAGAAAGGCAAAGGGTACTCAGACCTCAAGGCTCAACTCAAGCCCCTCCTCTTCTGGAGGTCTGAGTCTCTGGTCTCCTCCGGGCTGGCTTGGGTAGCTGCATATTCCTGGGTTCCCACAGCACCTTGCACATAGTGACAGTAGCAAGGGGTGGCTGGTGGGGCTTTACCTGCCTGAGGGATCTCCACTGGACTCCCAAAATGCACACCTAAGCCAGGTAAACACTGTGCTTCTAAACAGGCACAGCCCCTCCCTCTTCCAGCCAGATTGCCACCCCACACCCTTCCTGTAGAGAAATTCAGGAGCCATCACTGCTTGCCTGTGCCTCTCGTATTCTGATCACACAAACTGTAATTATTGATTAATAAAAACTGTATTCTCCACTAGAATATGACTCCTACTGTTATGGATTGAATTGCATCTCCCCAAAATGTATGTCAACTTGGCTAGCCCATGATTCCCAGTATCATGTGGTTGTCCATCATTTTGTCACCTGATGTGATTTTCCTACGTGTAATAAATCCTACCTCTATACTGTTAATGAGGCAGGATTAGAGGCAGTTATGTTGATGAGGCAGGATTCAATCTCCAAGATTAGGCTGTGTTTTGAGTCAATCTCTTTTGAGACATAAAAGAGAGAAGCGAGCAGAGAGACATGGGGGACCTCATATCACCAAGAAAGTAGTGTCAGGAGCAGAGCATGTTCTTTGGACCCGGGGTCCCAGTGCAGAGAAGCTCCTAGACCATGGGAAGATTGATGACAAAGACCTTCCCCTAGAGTTGATACGGAGAGAAAGCCTTCCCCTGGAGCTGGCTGAAAATAATAAACTTCTGAGTGAATAAACTTCTGTTTGTTAAAGCCAGCCACTTGTGATATTTCTGTTATAGTAGTCCTAGATAACCAAGACACTCACACACAACCGGGGTAGTGTGTGTGTGTGTATGCCATAAATCAAAACAAACAAAACCCATTGCTGTTGAGTTGATTCTGACTCATAGTGACCCTGTAGGACAGACTGTAACTGCCCCATAGGGTTTCCAAGGAGCAGCTGGTGGATTCGAAGTGCCAACCTTTTGGTTAGCAGCCATAGCTCATAACCACTGCACCGTCAGGGCTGCATGTATACCATATGAGCTCAATAAATGTTTGAATGGATAAATGATTGAACCAATGGGTGTTTTTAAGCCCATTAAGCTCAGATGACAATGTAGTTTGAATTTAACTCTGCAGGTATTAGGGAGCAACTAGACAAGTGAGAAGGGGAGTGACATGAATAGGGATTAGAAAGTGAATGTATGCTTGTGTGTAGGAGGTGGCACACTGCACGATATTGGAGAGAAGAATAACCTTGGAGTCAAGCAGGCCTCAGTTCAAATCCCAGCTCCAACACTTACTGGTTGTGTGACCTTGGGTGTGGGAGATTAAACATGTGGGCTGTGATGTCAGGTGTTCAGGTTCAGACCTTAATTTTGCCACTTGCTGGCAGAATGATCTTGGCAAGTTACTTAACATCTTGTTTCCTCATCTGTAAATGGCAATACTGATAACACCTCCCTCAGAGAGTTGATGTGGGGATTAAATGAGAAAAGTGTAAGGCATTTGAAAGGTGCTTGGGCAATGGTACAATTACAATAAATGTTAATAGTTATTATTATTACTTAACCTCTCTGAGTCTTAGTTTCTTAATTTATAGTAACATGTCAAGGTCCCTGGGTGCTGCAAATGGTTTGTGCTCATTTACTAACCTAAAGGTTGGCGGTTCGAACCCACCCAGCAAAAAAAGCCCCGGTGATGTGCTTCTGTAAAGATTATAGCCAAAAAAACCCCATGGAGTGGTTTTACTCTGTAACACATGGGGTTGCCGTGAGCTGGAATTGACTCGACAGCAATGGATTTGGTTTTCTGGTTTAGTCACATGGCAGAGGTTGATTTTAAATAGAAATGAAATAAAATTTGTAGAAAGACTTTTCACCAAACAGTACTTACTATTTGCTATGTATTTAAATTATTCAATTTTATACTATCTCATTAAAGAAAAAAAATAATAACTGCCAATGGTTCAGTAAACTGATTTCATGATCCATTAATGGGCATGACCTTGAGTTTAAAACTTCAGTCTGCATCGTCCAAATTCTTTAACACAACCTTCAGACAACAGACGCTGCTCAATAATTTGCAGTGTTGATGATGCTGATGATGGTGAACTGAAAGCAGAGAGATGTTTTAAGCTAAGCCAGTTCAGAGTAGTTGCAATGGTTCAGGGAGGTGAGTCTGAAAGATAGCTGTGGCAGCAAGGATGGATAAGAGGGGATGGATGTGACATTGTGCAGGAAGCAGAGACAGGTCTTCGTGTCAGAGTCCTTGTGGGGCGTGGAGGGGCAGGATCCATGGGCGCTCAAGGTCTCCAGTCCAGGGCCCTGGACACACGTTGGGGTGGTGTTGGGCCAGGTTGAATACTGAGAAATAGGAAGCAGTGCAAGTACTTCAAGGCAGAATTTAAATCAGCTTAACTGCTAGAATTGTGCACTAGGAGGTGGCCTGTCCTGACCCTACTCCCATTTCACTGTGACCTTGGGCAAGTCCTTCTCTTCTATGAAGGGGTTGGACTAGACGTGCTCATTATGCAGTGCTCGGGTGAAGGTGAGGCAGGCCCACGGACAGCTCGGTCGCTGTGGGGAGAGATGGAGCGAGACAGGATTTGCGCTCCACAGCAAAAGACAGGCGAAAATCTAAGACACAGACGAGGGGCCGCGGACTCAGGAGCAGACTCTGAAGGGGCTTCCTTGGGCACGTTTTTCTGACATGCAACAGGCGGCCCTGGTGTTCTTTCACCACCGACCTTCCTGAAACAGCAGTAAGAGAAAAACTTTCCAGCCTCGAGTCGGCCCGCCGCTTTAAAGCCCCGGGTCCTGGCCCCTCAGTGACCCCGGTGCCCGCCCGCTGCGTCCGGGGAGGGGCGGGCAGTCGCTTGGTGGCAGCGGCTGCTGGCGGCAGCTGTGCGGGTTTGCCCAAGGGTTAACCGGTTCCCCTGCAGCGCCGCGCGTGCCTTGCAGAATTTCACCAGAAGAGGGTATAGTTTGAAAAGCTCTTGACGTCAGGCTGGAATTCCTATTGTGTTTAGAAACAGCTTCGGCACAGCAAGCCGGAGTTAGCTCTCTGCACACCTCGGTGGACGGTGTCAGTCCGGCAGCTCCCGGATACGTCCCGCGCGGAAGGCGCACGCGGGGACCGGCGCGGCTCTGGGACAGATCCACCACCTCGCGAGCGCCTGGGGGCGGAAGACGCTGCCTGCGGCCCATGAGGGGACCCCACTCCAGCAGGAGGCGGAGCCGAGGCGGCGGATCGCGCAGCCCCGGAGCCAGGGGTGAGTGCCCTCGGCCCGGCGGGTGCGGGTGAGAGTGCTCCCAGCCGGCGCGCTCCAGCCCTCGGATGCCCGGCCGGAACCCCGCCGCTTGTTGCATGCCTCCGCGGCTCTCCCCAGCCGGCTGCTGTCTGCTGTGACTCCCTTCCTGGCAGGCGGGCGCCGGTGAGGCTGTACCCCAGGCCACGCACTTGTGGGCTCCAGCGCACAACCCGAGGCTAGAAGCTGGGAGGATGGACGAGTCCGGGGAGCGCAACCTCCCGGAGCTGGGCAGCCAGGGTTCCGGAGCCGGCGAGGACATTGAGATCGTCGTGAATGTGGGGGGCGTGCGGCAGGTGCTGTACGGAGACCTCCTCAGCCAGTACCCGGAGACCAGGCTGGCGGAGTTAATCAACTGCTTGGCTGGGGGCTACGACACCATCTTTTCCCTGTGCGACGACTACGACCCCGGGAAACGGGAGTTCTACTTTGACAGAGACCCTGACGCGTTCAAGTGTGTCATAGAGGTGTACTATTTTGGGGAGGTCCACATGAAGAAGGGCATCTGCCCCATTTGCTTCAAGAACGAGATGGACTTCTGGAAGGTAGACCTCAAGTTCCTGGACGATTGTTGTAAGAGCCACCTGAGCGAGAAGCGCGAGGAGCTGGAGGAGATCGCGCGCCGGGTGCAGCTCATCCTGGACGACCTGGGTGTGGACGCGGCCGAGAGCGGCTGGCGGCGCTGCCAGAAGTGCGTCTGGAAGTTCCTGGAGAAGCCCGAGTCGTCGTGCCCGGCGCGAGTGGTGGCCGTACTGTCCTTCCTGCTCATCCTCATCTCCTCAGTGGTTATGTGCATGGGCACCATTCCCGAGCTGCAGGTGCTGGACGCCGACGGCAACCGCGTGGAGCACCCGACGCTGGAGAACGTAGAGACGGCGTGCATCGGCTGGTTCACGCTGGAGTACCTGCTGCGCCTCTTCTCCTCACCCAACAAGCTGCATTTCGCCCTGTCCTTCATGAATATCGTGGACGTGCTGGCCATCCTGCCCTTCTACGTGAGCCTCACCCTCACGCACCTGGGCGCCCGAATGATGGAGCTGACCAACGTGCAGCAGGCGGTGCAGGCCCTGCGGATCATGCGCATCGCAAGAATCTTCAAGCTGGCGCGCCACTCCTCAGGTCTGCAGACCCTCACCTATGCCCTCAAGCGCAGCTTCAAGGAACTGGGGCTGCTGCTCATGTACCTGGCAGTGGGCATCTTTGTCTTCTCCGCCCTGGGCTACACAATGGAGCAGAGCCACCCTGAGACCTTATTTAAGAGCATCCCCCAGTCCTTCTGGTGGGCCATCATCACCATGACGACGGTTGGCTATGGTGACATCTACCCCAAGACCACACTGGGCAAGCTCAACGCGGCCATCAGCTTCCTGTGCGGGGTCATTGCCATTGCCCTGCCCATCCACCCCATTATCAACAATTTCGTCAGGTACTACAACAAGCAGCGGGTCCTGGAGACTGCAGCCAAACACGAGCTGGAGCTGATGGAGCTCAACTCCAACAGCGGAGGGGAGGGAAAGGCTGGGGGCTCCCGGAGTGACCTGGACAACCTCTCGCCCGAGCCTGCAGGGAATGAGGGACCTAGATGGAACAGCAGGCTGAAGATCTCCCACAGTGACACCTTCATCCCCCTCCTGACTGAGGAGAAGCACCATAGGACCCGGCTCCAGAGCTGCAAGTGATGAAGGGCATCCCAAGCAGAGAAGGACTGGGCCTGTGGGCGGATGGACGGTGAAATGGGCATGGTGGCGAGTGCCTGAGAGTAGCTGTCCTTTGTCCCCCCTCTCCTTTCCTGAACAGAATTCTGAAGGCCCTCTTGGGCACCTCTGACAAGGCTGGGTAAGACCCCTTTGTGTTGCTGACTGTCCAGGAGCCTGTGTGGAGGGAAAGGTGTCCAAGAGCCACTGGGCAGTGTGGGGTAGGGGCTGAGTGGAGGCCGTGGACTGGCTGGTGGCCAGAGCCCATGCCCGGTTCTGTATCTCCTTCAATAAAGCCTCCTGCTCTGTGCACCCAACCCGAGTAGTAGGTTCTGTCACAGGCTGGCTGTTGCTCCCGAGATGTGGCTCAGACTTGCCCCAGTACCAGGCCAGGAGGTAGGTGTGCAGGGGAGGAGGTGGTATTTTTAGCTGGGAATGAATTAAAGTTGGGCTCATAATGCAGGGTTCAGCGCCAAGGAGCCTTGCCACATTCCAGGAGCTCTGCGCTGGTGATGATTCTTTCGTTCGTTCGCTTTCCTTCTGGGGAAAAACTTGCTCCCTGAGGGCTCCCAGGAGGGGCACGACTTCACAGAACAGAGATCACAGAGCAGCACGGTTACCATTTATTCATTGCTGGTGTGGGGCCCTTTTCACACATTCTCTGTTCCTCCCAGCAACCCTGCTAGATAGATGTCTCCATTTTACAGACGAGGAAACTGAGGCCCAAGGTCACACAGAGCAGGACTTGAGCCCATGTCTGATGATCCCAAAGCCCATGCATTGCCTCTGATACCAGCTGGCCTTGGAACAGAGGTATATGCTTGGGCCTGTGAGGGGAGGGTCTGCACACCAGGAGAGGTGCTGAGGTCACAGTGGCAATGTCTGTTCTCCAGCACTTCCTTCCAGCATGGATATCTTTCAGGTATCAGCTACGTGGACAATTCTGGGCATAGCCCCAGATGGCCTACTGCCAGAGCCCCAGGGGAATGGAGTCAGACAGGCCTGGGTTGGAAGCCCAGGGAATGGGGAGATCTCTGAGATGTATCCTAGCTCTTTTCTGTAGCACCCCCTTGTCCCTACCACTTGCTTATCAGCTGAGTGACCTTAGGCCTGTCACTTAACCTCTCTGATCCTTAGTCTAATTATTTAGTGGAGTCTTTGGATGCTGCTAATAGTTAAGCACTTGGCTCTTAACCAAAAGGTTGGGGGTTCAAACCCACCCAGAGATACCTCGGAAGAAAGGCCTGGTGATCTGCTTCCAGAAGATCACCTCCATGAACACCCAATTTATTAAATGGGGATATAATAATTACCTCAGAGAACCATGGTGCTTAACACAGTGCTTGGCACATAGTAATTGCACAATAAATGGTAGCTGTTTCTATTACTCTGTGCTAGGAGGGGGTTAGTTGCCCCGTTGCCCACTCTGGCCTTCACAGGTCTGAGCTAGACATGCAGATGGGGGAGAGATAAGCTGTAGGGCATTGTACAGTCTTCTCAGCCAAAGGCAGGTCGACTTGGCACAGAGCTGGCTCTGGCAGGCCCTTCTCTCTGGCTTTCTATCTTTCTCCAGTCCAGAGCTCTATCCTTCCATCTTCTGCTGTAGCACCTGGAGCAGGGGGAGGAGCCCTGTGGGGGTTGGGGGGCGGGTGGGCTGGGAATGTGGTCCTTGGTCTACCATCATGCTAGGCAGATCCTTCCCCTTTCCTGGGCCTTGGTTTTGTCATCTGTAGAAAAAGGGGTAATTTTTTGGGACCCCTTCCAGTTCTGACGTTCTGGGATTTCAAAGTCTTGGGCTATATGATGCGTTGTGGTGGGGACTCCAAGGGGGTAGGAGGCTGCCGTGTTGTAGCTAGCAGGACTTGGAGGGGAGAGTCAGGGCTGTGCCTTTGGGCTGCAGGACCCTGAGCCAGTGCTCTAGACCCTGTCTCACAAGTGTCTCCAGGAAAACACTAGGTCCAGTGACTACCATGAAAGGCAGAGGAATGAGGGAGGGGGCTTGGGGTGGGCAAGTGAGACGCTGCAGTGGGGAGGAAGAGCTGCCTCCCTCAGGGTCGCCTTCGCATCTGGAAAGAGGGGATTGTTGTTGTCCATGGGGTGTGTGTCCCTCGGGCTTGGTGGGGCTTGCTGAATGGGGGATTGCTCCCTCTCTTTCTCTCCTGTGTCCCCAGAGTCCCTGGAAAGCCCTGGAGCCTGTGCTGGTCTGTGGGCTTCGAATCAGGATGGGGAGGAAGCTCAGGGATTGGAGAGAGAGGCCAGGACAGCTGAGGATGGGGTGGCGGCCTTCCCTGCCATTCACCTGGGGCGAGCGGAGGGTGGTCAGAGAGGAGCGTGTTTACAGCTGTAAAGGCTGCTCGGAGCTCATCTATTGCACTGTTTGGAGGAGACTGAGTCCCAGAGAGGGTCAGTGGTTGTCTGAGATCTTTTGTAAATCGAGATTAGACACAATCTTGGTCACTGAGGGGCTCAGAGTGTGACAAATAATCCTTATATGGTGACATGCTTTGTCATCTAGAAGTGACCAGTGGCTTCGGGAGCCAAGAGGAGGGGCAGCCCTCTTTCCTGGGGAATCCTTCTGGGTACTGGTTCTCAGACTTGGCTGCACACTAGACCCACCTGGAGCTCTGATGGCGCAGTGGTTAAGAGCTCAGCTATTAACCAAAAGGTAAGCAGTTTAAATTAACCAGCCGCTCCTTGGAAGCCCTATGGGGCAGCTCTACTCTGTGCTGTAGGGTCGCTGTGAGTCAGAAGTGACTCAACGGCAACGGGTTTGGTTTTTGGTTTTAGAACCTCTTGGGGAGCTTTAAGAAATCCCAATGTCCAGGCTGCATATCAATTATATGAGAATTTCTGAGAGTGACACTCAGGCACCAGTGTATATATATTTTTAACTTTAAAGCTCATGAGTCATCTGGAGGTCTTGTTAAAATGCAGGTTTTGAATCAGTAGGGTCCCTGAGATTCTGCGTTTCCAACAAGCTCCCGGACAAAGCTGATGCTGTTGGTCCGAGGACCGCACTTTGAGGAGCAAGAGACTAGAGCAGAGTTTGGCAAACTATGGCCTGTGGGACAACAGGTGGACAGACAGGTGGACTGTCCCCTGTGTACATACCGTTCATGAGTGAAGGATGATTTTTACATTTTTAAATGGTTGGAAAGAAAAATCAAAGGAAGAATCATATTTCGTGACATGTGAAAAGTCTATGAAATTCCCCAATTTCAGTATGGGCAAATAAAGACTTCCTGGATCAGAGCCAGGCTCGGTTTGTTTATGTCGTGTCTGAGGGTGCTTTCACTCTGCAATGGCCGAGCTGAGTAGTCGCAACAGAGATCATATGGCCCTCAGAGCCTAAAATATTCACTTTCCAGCCCTTTACAGAAAAAGTCGGCCAACCCTGGGCTATAGGAAATGATCATTTAGGTCAGGTCTTGCAGATAGAGTAGAGCTGTGCCAGAAGAGGAAGTGGAAAGAACATGCCAAGCAGCAGGAACAGAGTGAGCAAAGACACAGGCTTGTGGGGCCTTCTTCAGAGAGGAGGAGGTCTGTTCTTACGCCACAGGGCAATTGTAGGGATAACAGTAAAGAGGCTTCCCTTCTGCGCCCCCTCCCAATGTCCCAGGGGACACAGCTCCCCTTCTTTCTTTCCTACAGAGAACCCCCGGCTCCCGGTTCTTACAGCAGGTTCCTACAGTCCCCAGCTCCCACTTTGGAAACTGGCTTCTGCTCATGCTTTCCTGATCCCTCTCATCTGCAGAGCTGTCAAAGCTCCCCCTTCCCAGGTACGTTCCCTCACACCCTCTTCCCCTGCTGGGGGGAATCTGATCTGCTCCTGTAAAGATTACAGCCTAGAAAACCCTATGGGGCAGTTTTACTCTGTCACATGGGGTTGCTAAGAGTCGAAAATCAACTGGACGGCACTTAACAATAACAACAACTAATCGGCGGATTTCAGACAGATGACAGGCCATGTGGGGAATGCTTTTGAAGCAGGGGGGTCTTGCTTTACCCAGGACCGGGCTGTGAAGGGCCGCGGCTTCTCCTTAGCTGCAGCCAGACCCAGCCCTTCCCCTCTCCCCCACCACCCAAGAAGGGATAATGAAATGTCTCCCTGAGTCTCCTGTCATCTCCCAGGGAGATGAAGGACAGGGGGTGGCTCCAGCGAGGCCTCCCACCTGTTCCTCTGGGAGAAGACAGCTCTGTGAAGCATGCTCATTTGAAAGCATTTTACCAGCCGACTTGAAAGGGGACTTCACCAACAGCCATCAGCTGAGGTGAGGCTCCCCCCTGAGTGCTTTTCTCCCTCATAGCAGCCCGAGGCATAGCTACAGGGCTGATGCGGGTTTCCAAAAGGAAAAAACAAAATGAGAATTAGAAGGCTCTATGCTTAGTCATTTCTTTGTTTTTAAGCTACCAGCTAGCCAGCCTGCAAAGCAGAGCCAGGACTTCTGTCATCACAGTTTTATTTCACCCTCTCATCAACCAGCCAGACAGGTGTGCTAGGTCCTGTTTCAGGCGAGACCCCTGGCATTCTGGGAGGCACAGTGACTTGCCAATGGTCACAGTCTGGGAGTACAGCATGGACCGGAGGGATCCTGCAGCCTGTGTGCCAGGAAGCTGGGTCCGCATCCCTGCAGGGCCAATGCCCTCCCCAAGGAGCCAGGCACACTGTCCCCACTGCCATTCCATCACTCCAGCTCGGGTCACTTCCCAAGCAAGAGGCTTGGCTACAGGTGAGGGAAAGACCCGCCCCGGATGGGCGCTTGCCAGCAGTTACATGCCTTCTCCCCAAACACAAAATGTTATGCCTGTTGACAAGGGCTTGGCTGGGAAAATGGGATCTGTGCTTATAACAGTGGCAGCCTAGAATCCGGGAGAAGGTGCAAATATTAATATATACAGGCCGGGTTTCTGCTTGGGCATATGTCGGCTAAGCTGTTGGGAGATGTTGCTCGAAGCTAGGGCTTTGCCTTGCCGCATTCCACTTGTCTTTCTTCTTCCTGGATTTGGCGGCATGGGGCTGACTTGGCTTTTGGAGCACAGGCCCTAGGGGAGGCCCAAGTAGAGACCCCAGGGGCATCCTGGCATGGACTTCAGCCAGATTATAGGTCAACCAGAGTCTCAAGCTGCCATCCACACTTTGCACCTGGGGCTGTGGAAAGTTCAAGCCAGATCTTGTCACTTGCCTTCTCTCCTCGAAGCCCTTTAATTTCTCCCCACAGTCACAGGGCAACAGCCAGAGTCCTGAGCTCAGCATTCAAGGCCCTCCATGGTGAGCGCTAAAGTACTTCTCCAGCTTCATCTCCCACCTTCTCCCGACAATTCAGGCAGACCAGGTGGCTGTTCACATCCCAAACACTGGAAAATTCGGCTGCTCTCCCTATGGACACAGGATTCTTGGTGTCCCTATTGACTTTCTCCCGATTTTCTACCCATGCTTCATGACCCAGCTGAGATGCTTCCTTCCCTTCTCAGAGGTAACACTGCCCCCTGCATGGCTCAGGGTTGGGTATCCTGGCTTGGTAGGGGTGGAAGCTGTGCTGTGGAGATCCTGAAGTCAGTCCCTCTCATTGTACGCTGAAAAGGACGCTCAGACATGTCGC